CATACTTTCCTATTTCATTTCTTCATAACACTTAAGTATAATTTATTGTTATATGGTTCTAGGTTATAGACTAGTAACCACCTAAAGGCAAGGATTATAACTCTTTTATCAATGAAAACACAGAACTAGTACAGTACCTATCATGTAGTGTTATAAAAAGAAAGAATGATAGATACCGAAGATAATCCCTGTCCCAATCCTCCAGAAAATGCTAAGTGGAAGGCAAGAATAAAAGTAGTTTGTGAATTAAATCCCATATAGGAGAACAAGGAAGAGAGTAGGTCAGGAGAGACTTACTTACCCTGTTCATGTGATTCCACAGTTATGTTGACAGCAGCCGAAGGAAGCTTCTGGTGGGAGCTTTTTGTTTGGCGATTAAACTATAAAATGCAGATCTGATAGAGGCAATTTATATTTCTAACATAGAAAACAGAGCAAGAGGAAGAAGAGGAACTTTTTTTTGAGACAGCACCTCAAGCTGTCCCCCTGGGTAGAGTGCTGTGACATCATAGCTCACAGCAACCTCCAACTCCTGGACTCAAGCGAGTCTCCTGCCTCAGCCTCCCAAGTAGCTGGGTCCACAGGCACCTGCCACAATGCCTAGCTATTTTTTGGTTGCAGCTGTCATTGTTGTTTGGTGGGCCGGGCTGGATTCGAACCCACCACCTCAGGTGTATGTGGCTGGTGTCCTAGCCACTTGAGCCACAGGCGCCGAGCCAGAAAAACATTTTTTAAAGAAAATAAGATAATTCTTAAAGTGGAGTCCTCTACTCTAACTGTGACAAGGCCATAGTCACTGTGTAAGCCAGATTACCTGTGTTTCCTGGAGCCTAGGCTTTACATCAAACTCACATTTGTTGGAAAAATTCAGTTCTTCTGGGTATAGGACTGTGGTTCTTGTTTTCTGCCACCTAAGGACCATTCTCAATTCCTAAAGGACTTCATTAGGTCCTTGGTTTGGACTCCTTTCATAGTCTTCTCATAACCAGCAACTTTCTTCTTCAAGACCAGCAGTAGGATATCTTCCTGACCTCAGTGAGAGTCCCTGGGTCTTCTTTGAGAGGGCCTACCTGTACAGGTCAGGACCAGCCAGGATAGTCTTACTTTTAGTTAGGGACTCTAATTACATCTACAGAATTCCCTGTGCATATAATACAATGGAATCATGGGAGTGATACAGCCCATTATATTCCCAGGCCCCATCCCCATACAAGCAAGGATTTTATATCAGTGGGTCATTGGGGGACCTTTGAGAATTATATCTATCATAAGATTTATTACTAGAAAGTAAGATTTTTAGTATATCCTTGTTTCTTCTCAGAGTTGCATAGAAGGTTCTTTCCTGTTTAGATTATGCTTCCTCAATGTTAAATTTAAATAAATTATTAATAGCTAGCATTTAGTTTTAAATTTTATAGTGTTAAGTTCTGTTTTACAACCTTTGGGTAGAAATAATTGACTACATATAAATCAATATAAATGTCAGTACTTTTTCTCATTGAAGTAAAATTTTGAATTGAAATAGGCTTTTAGAAGATTGTGGGGAGATTATACTACTGGGGATATAGAGTCGGAGGAATACATCTGCCTTCACTAAGTGTAGATACTAAATTGATCTATCCAAACAGGTAACTATCACTGTGACTAAAGTTTCTGTCATGAGGGAAATTATAAGGCTCTTACGTAGATAAGTTAAACAAAGTTTTTTATTAATCTAGTTCCTCAGCTTTTAAGACATTTCTCAGATCTGATAAGGTAACTAGCATTTGGCACAAGATGACAATGCTAATAAGAAGGTTGTACATTTAAAATATACCAAATGTTATCACAGATGTTTTAAAAACTCTGTCCTCAAAATTGCCTTGGTTAAATAACCAGGGATTTTTTTCTGTTTTTTTCTTTTTTTTACTTGTTCTTTTTTTAAGTGAAAAATAAATAAATAAAGTCCTATACTTGCAGATGGTAAATTAGCTGGTCAGCATTTAGACCCAGAGAATTATAAACCAGAAATTAAGACTCTTCCATGCATGTTTTAATATTACTTGTATGATTTAAATTGCTAATATGACTTAAATATTTTTAAATCTTTGATTGGATATGGAAAGGTAGTAATGGAGAAATATGAATCATGCAACTAATAAAAAAGGAAAAATAACAAGTTTGTGAATAATCTTGCTTTATTTGTAGTTTTATAGCACATTCTTCCTAACAAAGTCACCTACAAAAGTAGTCTCCTAGCTCAAACTATACATCAGCAAAAAAAAAGTTATTTAGGCCAGATGCGGTGGCTCATGCCTGTAATCCTAGGACTCTGGGAGGCCAAGGTGGGTGGATTGCCTGAGCTCACAGTTTCGAGACCAGTCTGAGCCAGAGCAAGACCCCTGCCCCTAAAAATAGCCAGGTATTATGCCCAGTGCTTGTAGTCCCAGCTACTAAAGAGGCTGAAGCAAGGGGATAACTTGAGTCCAAAGTTTAAGGTTGCTATGAGCTATGATGCCACAATACTGAGGGTGACAGAGTAAAACTCTCCCTCAAAAAAAAGAAAAAGAAAGTTATTTATACTTGTTGTCTCTTCAATGGCATTTCTCAAATCAGAAATAGAATTCTTTCATTGAGAGAAATTAGTAATAGAGCCCAGTTATTTGTCCAAGTAAAATTTTGATAAGCAAAGGATTATAAATTGGTGGGTCACATGATTTGCATATTTACTCCATTTCAACAGGTGCTTTGTAGTATTTCTATGCATATATAACATTAGAATTTTTTTATAGAATATAGAGTTTAAATATTTAATCAAAACATTATTCCTATTTTAATAAAAAGTACAAGTCATTTTCTTCACTTCTTTTATAATCCCCATGTGTCTTTGGTAAATTTTTGTACTGTTAAATTGAAGTTGAAATTTACGTATGTTAGAAGTACATGTTTATTGGCTTGAACTTTCCTAACTGTGGAGGACATATTTATGGCGTGAGGATCTTCCAGGTCAATGTAATAAATAGAAACCCAGTGGCATACGAGTATAACAAACAAAGGGAAGCTACTCAGAGCTGTTGGAATGAGAACAGAAAAGACTTAAAGAAGGAAGAAATACTGGAACTGCCCTTTAAAGATGAGAGAGGTTTTAGTAGAAGGAAACACTCTATTTAGAGGCATCCTTGTAGAGATGGCACACAGGTTTGGGGAATGGCAGGCAAGTTTGACTTCAGGCGATGTCTGAATGAAAAACAGATTGACACTAAATCCATAAACATTTGAACTTTATTCTGTAGAGTGAAGAAGTCCTGATGATCTTTAAATAAAGGAGTAATAGGTTAATGTTGTTTTAGGTAGGTGTATAAAAAGTGGTTGGAAGGTGAGGCAAGAGGAAGGGGCATTGCACTACTCTTAGAGGGGTAATGAGAGTTGGCATTAACAGAGTGGCAGAAGGAATGAATATGAGAAACATAGTTTACATAAACTGGCAATTGATTGGACATAGAGAATTAATGAGAAGGCGATGGATTCAAGCTTGGATGATAACCAGGAAGATTTTCAAATTGTGAGCTTATTTTTATTAAATATAAATTATTACGTACCTTTGGAATAATTTGTGAACAAGTATTTCCTGAAAATCTATAGAACCATGCTTTTAGATCATAAGCTAAAATATCACCAAAGAAATAACTTTTTAACCAAAATATACTTCTTTCACTCAAACAATTCAGTCCCAAATACATTAAAGCTCTGGTTTTGAATCCATGATCTGAAGTATTTTTATTTAACAATATATATGCAAGCATATATAAATACATACAGTAGAACCTCTGTAAGTTGACCACCCAAGGGACTGTAACAAACTGGTCAACATAAGGAACTAGTCCTACTGTACTGACACTTACATGTGGTGCATGTCTGGTCTATGAAACTAGGTCAGCTTGAGGAGGTAGGCATTGTAGGGAGGTGGTCAACTGTGGAGGTTCTACTGTGCATAATTATGTATTTGTTGTATAGGTTCTCTCAATAGAAGTGTTTTAAATATAGTGTTAATACTTAAGTAACATGTCTCATGTTTATATTACTGTACACTTGAGTTACATCTTTTGTTATTTCTAATTTGAATTGTTAAAAAGATATTTTTTCCTCTGAGAGATTTCAATATCATTTTACCTAATTTCACCATATGTTAAACTACCTTGTTATAAGCTTCTTTGCGATAATAAAATAGTAGTGCAGTTGCTCACTTAAGGAGCTTTGAGTGGTTATGCCACTACAGTTGGTGACATTCTGCTGACTGTAGATTAGTGAATGAGAAGGGCTAACATTAAGATGTTTTGTACAGTCCTTCATAAAAACATTACTAGTATGTCATTTAGCAAAATGTTTTTATTATTAAAAAAATCAAATCTAAGGATCTTAGTGCAGTTCTACCTAACATTATAAGCAAGATTTGTCAATAATCAATCAAGTGCATTAAACATTGAGTTTGCATGCTATTTATTTGAACTTAATCTCTAACAAGCTTTGTTTGCTAATTGGAATTAACATTTATGTTGCTAAATGAGAAGCATTTTGGCTGCTATATGAGGTGGTAAGACCTACCCAGTGGAATAAACAACTAACATCTGTTATCCTGTCCTGCTCCAGCTTGGCTTTTACCAGTAAAGTACTACATCAGCCCTGAAGTCAAGGTTATCAAATTTGTGAATCTCTGGCTCTCTCATTTATATGTGAAGGTAAAGAAATAGTGCATCATAAATAAAGACTAGCCAACTAAAAGATACTGAATATAGCTGGGTTGTTTTACTTTAACTTCACAAGTTCTATAATCTTAAGCAAAATCTGCCAGAGGTTAGAATTTTGGTAAAGTTTTTATAATAGCTGTAATTAATTGTAATTCTTTTTTTTTTTTTTAGCACTTTCCTACCTACAGAGTCTTACACTGATAATTGTTAGATTAAATGTTGTTTCTTTCATAATATATTTATGTGTCTTTTCTTTAAAAAAAAACAACAAAACAGAAGCTAAGTTCAGATTTGGATAGTCTTCGGAAAGAAAAGGAAGATTTGTTAAAGAAATTGGAGTCTTCATCTGAAATGACCAGTTTAGCAGAAGAAGTTTCCCGAGTAACAGTTCCACGGGTACAGGTTACATCATTTGGTCCTTCAAGGAGCATGGATTTGGAATTTAAGCAATTGCACTGTAAACTAAAGGTAATTATAAAGTTGACTATACATGAAAACGTGTTACATTACTGAATGCTCAAAGGCATGTTTATCAACATTAATTTATTCTAATAAAGGTAAATAACCCCTAAACTATTAACACTATGTTCAACTTCATCATTCAGTTTTAGTTTGGTAAATTTTTATCTGGTAAAAATTTCTCAAAAATAAACAAGACACCATAAAATCCTTACTTAGGAGATGATAGAAAGTGGCTATTGCCTTGTGCTGCAGTACTCAAGCCTCCTTTCAGTGGAACCAGAATCCTTTCAAGCATGTAACAACAAAGAAATACTTTCCTCTACACACTTTCTCCTATTTTAATTTTGTTGTTAAGGGCTGGAAAATGGGGAAGGAAGAGGGAAGGAGGGAGAGAAAAGAAGCAGAGAGCAAAAGTGGGTTGATTTCATAGATTTCAACAAGTTAAACCTGGGAGTGATAATAAAAATAAAAGAAATGCACCTAATCCAGGTAAAACTGTCAACATCTTAAAAGTAAGACTGACCTTACTTTAAAAGGAATTATCTTATAACAAACAGGATTTGTGAGTTTTAATTGAAAAAATCATTTTTTGCTTCCAGAAACAAGCTCATTTATTCCTCTCATATTTAATTATTTTTTTCAGTGAGGATTGCTAGCTGGAAGCTAAAAGGGCAGTGTATTTGGGACTATAGCTATCATGAGAATTCCTGAGAAGAAAATCTTAATTGTAAATCTACAGAGTGTATTAAAATGGAATAACCATGAGTGTTAAGAGGGTACTAGAATATTGTATTAATAGTCGAAGAGACTCATGGTTGTCTTCATTCCAAAATCGGACATGTGTACTCTCCAGAAATAATATCTTTTAGTGCAGGATTACTAATAGGATAAAATTTAAAATAAATGGACATATTGTTGCTTGAAAATATTGAGCCTTCTTGAATAGCATCTTCTTCAGATAATTTTTAGCACATGCTTCAACCACAACATTTTGTAAGTTTAAATATTTTAGAACTCAGAGATAAAAATAATTGTACAATTTGGGGGCATGTAACTTTTTTTTTTGGCCGGGGCCAGGTTTGAACCTGCCACCTCCAGTATATGGGGCTAGCACACCCTACTCCTTTGAGCCACAGGCACCATCCAAGCATGTACCTTTTTTAAAAATGTGTTTCTGGGTATATACCGAGGATGGTGGGTTCAAACCCTGCCCCAGCCAAACTGCAAAAAAAAGATAAAAATGTGTTTCTCTAAAAAAGTATGACAAAAATGTATAAAATGAACATTTCAGTGTTTCAGTCTGTTCATGTCTTTAGTCCACTTTTTGATGGGGTCATTTGTTTTGTACTTGCTGATTTGTTGGCATTCTTTGTAGGTTCTGGATATTAGCGCTTTGTCAGACACACAGTTCGTGAATATCTTCTACCATTCTTTAGGTTGTCTGATTATTCGGTTGATTATTTCCTTTGCAGTGCAGAAACTTTTTAGTTCATTGAAGTCCCATTTATTTATTTTTGTTGTTTCTGTATTTGTTTTTGGAGTCTTACTCATAAATTCTTTGCCTAGACCAATGTCTGGAAGAGTATTCCCACATTTTTGTCTAAAATGTTTATGGTTTCAGGTAATATACTTGAATCTCATCCATCTTGAGTTACTTTTGTCAGCTTTACAAGACTCAGTTGGTCATAGCTATATGATTTTATTTCTGGGTTCTCTATTCTGTTCCATTGGTCTATTGGTCTGTGTGTCTACCTTTTTTTCCGGCTGGGGCTGGGTTTGAACCTGCCACCTCTGGCATATGGGGCCGGCACCCTACCCTTTTGAGCCATAGGTGCCGCCAGTGTGTGTCTACCTTTTTACTAGTAGTACCATGCTGCTTTGTTTTTTCTAGGCTTATAATTTAAATGAGATGCATTCAAATTTGTTCTTTTTGCTTTAGCTGTTTGTGGTCTTTTTTGGTCATATAAAGTTTATTTTTTACAGATCCATGAGAAAGCCATTGGAATTTTGATGGGAATTATGTTGAATCTATAAATCCCTTTGAGCAATATGGACGTTTTAACAATGTTGATTCTTCTAATCCATGAGCATGGGATTTTTTTTTTTATTGATTTCTGTCATTTCTGATTTCTTTCATCAGTATTTATAGTTGTCCTTGTAGAGATCTTTCACTAGCATGGTTAAACTTGGTTAAATACATTCCTGGGTATTTTGTTTTCTTTGTGGTTAGTGTTCTTGATTTGACTCTCAGCTTCACTATTATTAGTATATGGAAATGCTATTGATTTGTGCCCATTAATTTTATAATCTGAAATTTTACTGAATTTCTCGATTCTTGGAGTCCTTTGGTGGAGTTTTAGGTTTTCTAGGTATCAGATCATATCATCAGCAAATAGGGATAGTTTTATCTCCTCTTTCCTGATTTGGATACCTTGTATTTCTTTCTCTTCCCTGATTGCTTTGACTAGATATTCTCGTACTGTGTTGAGTAGAAGTGACGACCGTGGGCAACCTTGTCTTGTTTCTATTCTTAGGGGGATGTTTTCAGCTTTCACTCATTAGGTATGACATTGGCATACGTTTTGTCATATACGGCTTTTATTATTTGGGGGGATGTTCCTTCTACCCCTAGTTTGCTGAGGATTTTTATTGTGAAGTGGCGCTGGATTTTATTGAGATGTTCATATGGTTTTTCACTCATTTTTATATATTCCATGTTCTCTTCTAGTTTCCCAGAAAATTAATAATAATGAAGATAATAGTAGTAGTTACACTACTTTTGCTTTGAGTATAATCTATTGTTAGACCTATTTTAAGTCCTTTAAAATATTAACTGATATTCTCATTTCAACCCTCTAGACAAGTTCTATTATTGCTATGCAATTTTAAAAAATATATTTGGTAAACTTAGTATAAGAAAGCTATAATCAGGATAAAGTCTTAAATTATGACCCTTTTGAAATATGTGTTTTATATAGATTTTAAGTCAGCTGCAGATAAATATTGTGTAGTACAGAATAGAAATGGGACAAGGGACATTTTGATTGTTACTTTTTGGCCACTAACTTTTTGTGAGACCTGAATGAGGAAACCACTTAACTTGTCTAGAAATCTAAAACAGGGGTATCTTATCTATTAATCTCATACATTTTTTTAAGGATCAAATAAAATAACTGTCAGAGATTTTAGCAAAAGTATATCTTAACATGGCATTGTTTTATTTATTATAAATAAATAATCCCTCAATTATCTAAAAGTCAGAGTTATAGCCTTTTCAACTACATTAAATACAGAAAATAACCAAACAGCTATCTTAAAATTTATGTATTTTTTTTCCTTTTTTTTTTAATTGTTGGGGATTCATTGAGATTACAAAGAATTAGGATACACTGATTGCATTTGTTAGATAAAGTCACTCTTATAATTGTATCCCACCCCCAAGAGGTGTACCATACACCATGACCCCCATTGCCCCCCCCCTTTCTCCCTTCCTTACATTAGCTGATCTACAGCCTTCATGTTAGAATTGAGTACATTGGATTCTTGCTTCTCCATACTTCTGATGCTTTACTAAGAAGAATGTGTTCTACCTCCATCAAGGTTAATACAAAGATGTAAAGTCTCCATCTTTTTTAATGGTTGAATAGTATTCTATGGTATACACATACCACAGTTTGTTAATTCATTCCTGGGTTGGTGGGCATTTAGGCTGTTTTGACATTTTGGTAATTGTAGCTGTGAGTTCCTTCATCTCTTTTGTTAGGAAAATTCCTAAATATTTCATTTATTTGAAGCTACTGTGAAGGGAATTGTATCATGATTAGCTTCTCATCTTGGCTGTTATTGGCATAGAGAAAGCCTACTGATTTTTGGACACTGATTCTATATCCTGAGACATTGCTGTATTTTTCAATCACTTTCAGGAGTCTTGGGATTGAATCTTTGGGATTCTCTATGTATAAGATCATATCATCAGCAAAGAGTGGAGGATTTGACCTCCTTTGCTCCCATTTGGATGCCCTTCATTTCTTTCTCTTGCTTGACTATATTGGCTAGAACTTCCAGCACTATGTTGAATAGTAGTGGTGATAGAGGACAACCTTGTCTAGTTCCAGTTCTAAATGGAAAACTTTCAGTTTTACTCCATTCAGTATAATATTAGCTGTGGGTTTGTCATGGATGGCTTCAATCACACCTAAGAAATGTACCACTTATGCCTAAATTTTTTAGTGTTCTAATTAGAAAAGGATGCTGAATTTTATTTAATGTTTTTTCTTCATCTATTGAGAGGATTATATGGTGTTTGTTTTTGCTTCTGTTGATATAGTGAATTATGTTTATGGACTTCCGTATGTTAAACCAGCCTTGCATCCCTAGGATGAAACCTACCACATGATGAATGATTTTTTTAATTTTTTTTTTTTCTAATGCAGAGCTGTAATGTATTGGCTAGAGTTTTCATTGAGAATTTTTGCATCTGTATTCATCAGTGAAATTGATCTGAAGTTCTCCTTTTTATTTGGGTCTTTTCCTGGTTTTGGTATCAGAGTGATGTTGGCTTCATAGAACATATTGGGGAAGATTCCTTCCTTCTCAATTGTTTAGAATAATTTCTGCAGGATGAGTATAAGCTCTTCTTTGAAGGTTTGATAGAATTCTATTGTGAAGCCATCTGGACCATGTAATTTTTTTGTTGGGAGATTTTTTTATTCTTTTTTCAATCTCAGTTCTTAAAATTGGTCTGTTCAAGTGATCTATTTCTTCTTGGTTAAGTCTAGGGAGACGGTGCAATTGTTGGTATTGATCTGTTTCCTCCACATTGTCAAATTTCTGGGCATAGAGTTCCTTTGCAGTTTTTGGCCAGGGCTCAGTTTGAACCCACCACCTCCTGCATATGGGGCCAGTGCCCTACTCCTTTGAGCCACCGGCGCCGCCCCCGAGAGCTTCTTATAGTAGTCAAGAGATGATCTCTTATATCTCTATGGTATCTGTTGTTACTTCCCCTTTTTTGTTTCTGATTTGTGGATATTAGAGATTTTACTTTTCTTCTAGTTTATCTGGCTAAAGTTTTATTGATTTTATTTATTTTTTTGAAAAACCAATTTTCTGTTTTGTTAAAAATTCACATAATTTAATCATTGAAGGTATTCTGAGGCTTTATTTACTGCCTGTTGCTTTTATTTTTTAAATATAATTTTAAGATTATTTATTTTACTTTTCTCCAGAAAGCACCTTAAATGCAGAAATTAGAAGTATACATAATAAGGGGAACTGATTGCTTTTAGGCAGGATTATTGACAGAAGCAAAGAAATTATGATCAACAGATTGAAAGAAAGAAAAAGGAAATATGAAAATATTAAGGTAAATACAAAATTAGAAAAACATAGAAGTCTGGGACCATTTTGAGTAGGGGTAAGTAGACATATCACAAGAGTCCCTAAGAGGACACTTTAACTATAGTAGTGTATCATATGTAACTTTTTTTTTCTTTTAGAGACAAAGGGTCTCACTTTGTCATCCTCAGTAGAGTGCTGTGGCATCATAGCTCACAGCAACCTCAAACTCTTGGGCTCAAGTGATTCTCTTACCTCAGCCTCCCAAGTAACTAAGACTATAGGCACCCACCACAACACCCAGTTACTTTTAGAGACAAGGTCTCGCTCTGACTCAGACTGGTCTCCAACCTGTGAGCTCAGGAAATCTACCCACCTTGGCCTCCCAGAGTGCTAGGATCATAGCTGTGAGCCACCCGGCCCCATCACATATAATTAATATAGTGATAATTATAATGTAATGTCATTATATTAACATATCACTGTTAAAATAGCATAATCGTGAATATTCATATTTCTAACTGAATGAACATTCATTACAGAATTTTGATTAATGATTAAAGCAAAAACTTCATTTATTTGATAAATTGACTAAGTGGAACATACTGTTCTGGCAATGTTAGAAATAAGACAGTATATGTAATTGTAAATATGTAAAATATGATTTAAGTTTAGATCGCATTGAGCACATATTTTATCAAAACTTGTTAACATTCAAAAACATTTGCCACGTTGAGGCAGCCCAGAGTGGCAAATTTCTTATTAATTTTTATAAGAAAAATTAACACCACATTTCATGGAAAAATAAAATTATTTCAAAATTGTATTTATACAAATGAATTTGTGTCACATTCACCTTGATTAATGGTAAATGGTTTCATCTTTTTAAATTTAAATTTTTTTAGCATGAGTCAAACATTCAATACTAAGAATAGTTCTAACAGAGACAATTTGTCATACTTTAGAAAGATTAGAGAAATGCCTACTTCAAATATTTTTAAAGCTATTACATTTTATTCTATCTATATTAGTTTAATACTTTTTAAACTTAACAAATGTATTGATGTATGTCAATACTATCTTATCTTTCTACCAATGCTATAGGTAGAAAAGCTAAAAAGACTAAGTGATGTCTTAGATTACATGTTTAATTGGAACTTGAGTCAAAGTTGAAAATTAGTTGTCATAACACTCAAATTTCTACCTCTGGCTCCTAGGCTGTGCAGACAACAAATACAATAATCTGTTCTACTATGAAAAACTAATAATTATGTATAAATGCTTCAATAATGAATAGCTCTACTACTAAGTAAAAAAGTACTTAATATTCATAAGCTTCTCTATTAGTTACTATTCTCTATCTCAAAATGTTGTGACTTAAGAAGAATCTTTCTTTCTTATAATTCAGTAAGTTGACTGGGAAGTTCTTAGCTATCTCTTCTGGGCTGCCTTACAGGCCTGCATTCATCGATTTACCTGGCTAGAAGGTCCAAGATAACCCCACTCACAGATATGACAATTGGTCTGCTGTTAGCTGGGGTCCTTAGTACTCTTCCATATGGCCTTTCAATTGTCTTCCTTGTAAGGTGGATCCCAGGGCATCAGGCCAAGAAAGCAATAGTTGAAGCTACTAGGCTTTAAGACCCAGGATTTGAAACTTAAAGACTAGGTCATTTCTGCTACCTTCTTTTGGTCAAGGAAATCACAGACCAGACAGATTCAAAGGGTTTGGAAATAGATTCTACATTGTCATAAATAGGAAAGTGTTTGTGATGGTATTCAGTCTCTTACAAGTTGTTAGTAAATCCAGCATTAGTTTTAAGTGATCTGAAATCGTTTAAATTTATTCAGTATTCACATATAGACATTTTACTAAAGTTTTTATTTCCTATAAATATATTTTGGGCATGTTCTCTGCAGTTTTTAAATTATTGTATTTCTCTATGGTTTGGCATGTTATATAAAAACATTAGTATTACTATAATATTTCTATTAAAGCATATAAAATAAAAGATTTAAAAATATTAAACATTCATTTTAAATTTTCTTCATCATAATTGTAATGCTCTTGATAATGGCATTTGTTTTTAGACTGTTTTAGACCAATATTGAAAGGTAATTTAAATTTATATTTATTTTTAATCTAGAATGCAACTAATGAACTCACTAAACAGTCATCAAATGTGAAGTCTCTAAAATTTGAACTCCTCTCAAAAGAAGAACACGTAAAGGAAATGCATGAGAAGTATGGTCTTTTTATTTCTATCCATTGTATTTGGTGCCACCCAGTGGCAGTCAACTTCATTAAACATTGAGCCCCAAGAAACAATACCAATGCCATTAATAATGAAGATTTCCTTCCTTAGTTCAAGTTTAAGCCTACACAAGATGAAAACTGAAGGAATACTACATATAGCATAATTAATGTCAGGGTAGTTACTATTTTTTTATTACTTTTATTTTTTGAGACAGTTTCACTATGTTGCCCTCAGTAAAGAGCTGTGGCATCACAGCTCACAGCAACCTCAAATTCTTGGGCTTAAGGGATTCTCTTGTCTCAGCCTCCTGAGTAGCTGGGACTACAGGCACCCGCCACAATGCCTGGCTATTTTTTGGTTGCAGTTGTCATTGTTGTTTAGCAGGCCCGGGCTGAGCTCAAACCTGCCACCTTCAGTGTATGTGGCCAGGCACCCTACTCACTGAGCTATAGGCATCGGACCAGTAGTTACTATTTTTAAATTAGGATAATCACATTTAAAGTTAGAATTCCATTGTTAAACATATTTAATTTTGTATCAATATAAATTAATGACTTCAAGCATATGAATGAAAATCTTAAAAATGAGCAATTATTTGACCTCCTAAATATATATAGATTGATACTTATATTGAATTTGATGCCTAAACTTAATAAAGCTAAGGTGGAAAAAGAAAAGTTTTGTTTGTGTTTAAAATAATCGTAGGTTATAAAAGTATGTACCTTTGTTGTTTATTAATAAAAAGAGATTTTAGATACTCGTATCAAATAAAAATGATTTTTCTCTCTAAACCTTTTATATCTATGCTGTAGCTTAGAGGTGATAACATCTTTGAAATTCCAATCATCATTGATAAATTTAAAATATCTGGATTTCACATACCTACCTGAATACCACATCATAAGTAAAGATGATATAAGTGATAGTAATAGGTGAAACAAAAAGATGGATTAATTTTCTACAATGGCAGTATTTTGAAGTGTTTTTATGGATTAAGAGGCAGTCTTATTTAACAATAAGTGGCTCTGGAGAAACATTCTTAATATAGAACTCTTAAGGGTTAGTACATGTAAAGCACTTAGAGCAGTAATGGACACATAGTAGCATTCAATAAATGTTAGCTATTATTATTCTTATAATAATAAGGGAAGGGCAGCAGCAGCAACAGTAGTAGTAGTAGTTGTCACTGCAATTACTGTTTTATACTTAATTTTTCATCAACTTATGCTAACACCATGTGTGAATTCAATCTCAAATGAAATTAAACTAAAAGATCTCAAGCCTAATTTTGATTTTTGCATGAAATTATAAGAATTTACATTTGTTTATTAAAGAATAGTATTATTTCTTATCGTTATGCTTTTTAATTATCTCTGAATAGCACTTAAATTTTTTTAGTAGTGTAAAAATGTAATTTAAATATAATACTGTTTTTATAAATTTCATTAACTTTTTCAGTTATTATAGTTTTAATGTGTGTATTTTACAAGTACTTAAAGTATTAAAAATAATCTCTTATTCAATGCAATTTATTTTACTAATATACAATTTCATTAATATTAACACTTAAAAGCTATCAGTATATATCACATTGGATAAAATGTAAGATATCATTGTTAAAGTATTTTCTATCACCCTTGACAAAATGTCTTTTTTTAAGGATATCTCGAATGGAGAGGGATATAACTATGAAAAGACATTTGATAGAGGACTTGAAATTTCGACAGAGAGTAAATTTGGCAAGTAATGAGAATTTTAATGAAATGTTAGAAAATCTTGAAAAAAAGGTATCAATTTTTTTTGTTTACTGACACTAAAAATATTATTTCCCACTGTATTCACTTTCTTAAATATTCAATACTAATTTATAGAAAATACTCATAGGATATGTATGAATATTATTTGCTGTGAAAGTACAGTGTTTGTAAAATTCAGGATTCCAAAATTTCATGCATAATATAGCCACACATTTTGTTTCTATTTGTAAATATTCCCATCAGAAGATAAGCAAGTTTAATTTTTAAAACCTTAATATTTGGGTACATAATTATATTTTATTCATTTTGTTTCATTTAATTGAAAACTCCAATTTATGACAGAATCAAGCTTTTCCTTTTTTTCTTCTTTTTTTAAACTGAAATTAAAACATTTAATTTAGCTAAAAAATTAAGTGTCCCAGGCTTTTTTCTAAATAAAAGAAGGGATAGGTAATAACCATTCTTTAAAAAGTGTGCTTTTTACTTGTATACATTTAATTTAATGTAGGGAGTTGTATTGAAAATAGTTATATATGACCCCAAAATAGGAAGTTTTTTTTTTTATTTATACAAAAGGTGCTATTTGCACAACTCATAAAGCAGCTTGTGCTTTGGCATTCATTACATGTCATCTACTCCTGAGAGAACATCTCCCTTATTTTCCTTTCTGAAGATGAAAATGTAAGTATCTATTAGCTCAAATGGATTTAAGAGAGAGAATTTTCAATGAGCATGACAAATCTAAATGGATTTTCTTCTCTTTCTCCTCTACACACTCTCATAAAGTAAAATTATTTCCTATGGCTTATTTAATGTTGTCCTTTCTATTTTACTAATTTTTTAACTTTAATATTTACTTCAGATACAGCCTTAGAATCTTTGTATAAGTAATCATACGTCTTAAGTGGCATTAAACTAAAAGAAGAAAACTTATTTTTCCGTTATTCTTCGAAATGTGTAACAAACATGTTATTAATGACTTGTTTTAATAATTTTACCCTAAAGAATACATGTTATATTATTTTGAAAAATATAATATAAAGTTATCCATAACTTGACTTGTTTCAGGATCACAAAACTGATCTCCTGTCTTAGGAAGTTTAGGTTAGTACTTAAAGGATGCATAGTTAATATTAATATTGTATTATTATATGGGAGATTATATATACCAGTATTCAGACACTTTTTGTGCAGTTTTATCTGTTATTAATTTAAGGATTGCTAGTTTCACTTATCAAATGAATTCTGCAAATAGAATACTTGAATTTGATTGCATTTATGAGAAAATATATTAAACTTATTCACTTATTTAGTTACTATCGAAATAAATACATTCCTAGTTTATTCCTAGAATGCTTTTACCAATAATAGTTACCTTTATGCTTTTACTGTAGATAAAGACATTAACTGAAGAGTGTTCCAACAAGAAGGTATCAATTGATTCACTAAAGCAAAGACTTAATGTTGCTGTAAAAGAGAAGTCACAATATGAACAGATGTATCAGAAAACAAAAGAGGAGTTAGAAAAAAAGGTATGCTTTTAGGACATTTTAGCCTAGGAGTGGAATATAATGATTTTTTTTCCACTTGTAACATTGTCATTTTTTTCTCCCTCATACTCTGTGAGGCAATTAAATATTTCAGGTAACTACACTTCTATCTCTCTATGAAACATTATGAATTTGTTTAATATTAAAGATAGTGCTTTATTCAAGAAATTCAGTTTTGTTTCTCTTAGTAATTTCTAATAAATGAAAACTATTGTTAGGCACTGATCTATACAAGTGAATATAAATTTTCTAGGTCTATCATTTTATGCATATAAACTAATTAATATTTTCATTTGCTGTAGGAAATCTTTTGGTCTAAAATAGCTTCTATGTCTTTAATGACTTATAATTTTTAAAAAGCATAAATAAATTTAGAGGTTAATATATGAGAATATATGCTTATTAATAAGTACATATAGAGAGAAAATAGTAAGACCCTTTCTCTATTAACATACCTAACTGACCCTACCAAATCTGTTCATAAAATATCTTTTATTTTGTGATTACTGATCTTTTTCAGGATATCAGGCTTACTCTCCTGGTATCAAAATTAAATGAGACTGAATCTGCAATGACAGAAATTGAAACAGCAGCGTCTAACCAGCTTCAAGCATTAGCTGTGCAAAGTGAGCAGGCCCTAGAAGGTGTACAGAAGAAATTGCTGTTAGCCAATGAGAAAGTGGAAGAGTTCACCATATTTGTGAAGGTTTGAATAATTTATAGTTTACTAATTTGAGCAGCACTTCAGGCAAAGAAAGTAGTGACTACTTCAGACTGTTTGGGAAATTCTTAAAATCTCTTTCTGCTTTTTGGCTCAGTGTCTGTAGCTCAGCGGCTAGGGCGCCAGCCACCTATACTGGAGCTGGCAGGTTCGGATCCAGCCTGGGCCTGCTGAAACAACAGTGACAAGTGCAACCAAAAAATAACTGGGCATTGTGGCAGGCACCTGTAGTCCCAGCTACTTGGAAGGCTGAGGCAAGAGAATCGCTTTAAGCCCAAGAGTTTGAGGTTGCTGTGAGATGTTACGCCATGGCACTCTCTTGAGGGCGACATAGCAAGACTCTGTCTCAAAAAAAAAAAAAAAATTTCTTTCTGCTTTTCTAATGCATTTTCTTTCTTTCTTTCTTTCTTTCTTTCTTTCTTTCTTTCTTTCTTTCTTTTCTTTCTTTTCTTTCTTTTCTTTCTTTTCTTTCTTTCTGACAGAGTCTCACTATATTGCCCTCTACAGAGCACTGTGGAGTCACAGCAACCTCCAGCTACTGGGCTTACTTACGTGATTCTCTTGCCTCAGCCTCCCAAGTAGCTGAGACTACAGGCACCTGCCACAGTGCCTGTCTGTTTTGTTGTTGTTGTTGTTGTTGTTGTTATTGTTTAGTAGGCCTGGGCCGGGTTTGAACCTGCCAGCCTCGGTCTATGTGGCCAGCGCCCTAACCACTGAGCACAGGCACCAAGCCAGCTTTTCTAATGTATTATACAAAGCAATTACCCTAGTTGTCACATTGCTCAAAATTTCTCTATAAAAGATTTTTATTTATAGTTCAAATTTAAAATTTCTAGTCTCATAATTATATTTATTTTCTAATGTCAATTTAGTTATAAAATTGTAGAAGTCAAGTAAACAGGTTTTACCAGGTCTGACAATTAAGTTCATGAACATGTGTATGTTGGCAGCACTGTACAAACATCTTGGTAAAGTTTCATAACCTTGGGATATCAGTGTATCACAGCTGTGTTCACATTGATATTTGGCAGTGTCTTGCTTAGTACCATTCGTTGTTGCATGTTTTGGGGTGTCATCATGAGAATATTGGTGCTTGAATTAGAGCAACAAACATTAAATTTCTTGTTAAACTTGGCAAGTGTAGAAGTGAAATCAGGGACATATTTATGGGAATAATGCCATGAAGAAAATGGCAGTGCACAAATGGATTAAATGTTTTTTCTGGGGGGAGAGAAAGCTTCACTGAGGAAGAGAGGTAAGGACTCCATTAACCAGCAGAACTGACTGAAACATTGCAAATTTCATTGAATTGTGCATCAAAATTGTCAACTGACTGTAAGAAGCATAGCAGACAAAGTAAACATTGATAGAGAAACAGGAAAATCTTAACTGAAAAATCTTGGCATGAAAAAAGTCTATGCAAAATGGTCCCACAGGAGCTCCCTGATGAACAGAAGCAAAGAGCTCACATGGGACTGTCTGCAAGGGAGTTTTAGCCAGTAAACAAATAAACCTCCCTACTCACTTGATCTAGCTCCTAGTGACTTTTACTTTTTACCAGACGATAAAGGAAATATTGAAAGGAAGACATTTTAATGACATTCAGAACATCAAGGGTAATGTGATGACAGCTTTAATAGCCGTTCCAGAAAAAGTTCTAAAATTGCTTTGAAGGGTGGACTAGGCACTGACATCAGTACATAGCTTCCCAGGGGAAGTACTTTGAAGGTGACCATAGTGATATAATCAGCAATGAAGTATGTAACACTTTTTATAGGATGAGTTAGTAAACTTCGTTGTCAGACCTAGTAAGATGGAAGAATTGTTTCTACTCTACTGTCCTTGCTCCATGTTCAGGGAAGCTGGGAGACCCCTGAACCCCAGTCCACAAACTATCAACACATGGAATAGATAGAAGATTGGTAAATGGCTTAGCAGAACAAAGGGAAGCCAAACTTAAGTCCTGCAGAAGTGCAGGGACTAGAAATTACCTTTTAAGCTAAAGAGCCCCAGAGAGCTTAGGATTCAAGTGCATAAGAAACAACCAAAGCTGAGAACAATGGAGGGAGAGGCGGATTTGGTTCTAAAACAGGGGGATTTGGGTCTTAGAAAAGGGATGACCATCATCATTCCTTACACATATGGCCCTAGGACTATGCAGAAATACTTAGGAGCTGCTATCTGCAGCAGCACATCATCAGTGGCTTCCTAAATCCTACTGCATGTGCAGTAGGATTAGATCTATACTTCTACCTTTTCAAAGATGTTAAGACCTATGTACTGTCCAGCTCTCACCCATATTGCATTTCTTCCTGCGTTTGCTCAAGTTTTCCTTCTCACCCAAAATGCCCTCCCTTCATTGCTCTCTCCTTCACATTTAGCACAAGACATTCCTCTTTCATGAACCTTCCTTTGCCTCTATGTTTAAGAAGATAGAGCCCAGCTTTTCCACTTACAGGCTGTGTGATCTCAGGCAAGTGACTGAATCCTCTGTTCCTCGGTTTCCCCGACTATAGTATGAATGTAGTAAAGAAACATACATGAGATGAGGATTTAAATAAGTTATTGTCACTAAAGATCAGAACCATACCTAGCTGCTGTCCAAGTAGGAACTATTATCTATGTAATAGCAACATGGCTGTCATTTACCTCATGAACATTTACTATATGTATCACACTAACACAGTTGTTAACTTTTGCATTTTTCTTTTTGTTTCAAGTTGATTATAGCCTACATGGGATAAGAACTTTGTCATTCATTATCCTCAGAATATTGACACATAATGGGATTCATTAAATTCTTAAGGAATTGATTTTATATCTGCTTTAAAAATGGTACTGGGCACATGGTAACTGCTCATACTGAAAACTCTGTAAAAGGTAAGAACTATGCATATTCCTTAACTAGCATAGTTAAGGAATGTACACAGTTCTTACATGGAATGTTATGATCATCAGCATTCATTCCATGCAGAGTGTATTAGGATATCATGTACACAAAAGTACTTAATAAGTATTATCAGTAGTATTAATAGTAATAATGTTTGTTCTGCCCTGTTGTGGAATCTATGTTCCCTTTAGTCTTTTCATTTATTCATAGGGCACAACTAGATTATAGAAGAGGTGGAGTGGCCATCTGTTCTAGATCTAGTCTTGAATATGGAATTTTGCCCTTGGGTGAAATCAAGTACTTTGAGCATCTGGGCGGGATGTATGTGGCAGAGCTGAGGCTTTGAGTTCTCCTAAAAACTGAATACAACACACAAGGGAAATTTTTAGAAGTATTTGCTCAGTTCAACTCACCCCTGGCATAGGATTGTTAATGTGCTTATGTGATAGTCATGTGCTAAGCTTCATCTTCTCAATGGTTTTTGTTACCTGTGAAATAAATACTAGCCAAAGAACAATATTTAGCTGAAAACTTTGCTTTGATAAGATATAATAAGGATTTGGACCATGTGAATTTCTTCCTTAGTAAAAACATTTGTCAAATATTTAAATTTTATTTGTACACATACAATTGGCACTCTTCTCTTTCAATTATAATTTTTTTAAACTGTTCTATGAGACATTTCAACTTGAATTAACTTTTTTCAACCTGCCATTGTACTAAAAAAGGAAAATTGCTATTTTTAGAGAAAAGTTCTTAATAAAAATGCATTACTTCAAGTGGATAAACTTTAAAGTATATAAATTATACCTTAATAAAGCTTTTTATTTATTTATTTATTTTTATTTTTATTTATTTTGAGACAGAGTCTCACTGTGTCACCCTAGGTAAGTCACTATGGCATCACAGCTCACAGCAACCTCAAACTCTTGGGCTTAAGTGATTCTCTTGCCTCAGCCTCCCAAGTAGCTAGGACTACAGGCACCTGCCACAAAGCCCAGCTATTTTTTGGTTGTCATTATCATTGTTTGGTAGGCCCGGATTGGATTTGAACCCGCCAGCTCCCTGTTTGTGGCTGGTGCCCTAGCTACTGAGCTACAGGCACCGAGCCTACATAAAGCTATTTAAAAATATATTATTCCCTGATGATAATGGTGACTCCAAAGTATTTGAATAGCCAATTATCACTTTCCTGACAATCTGATCTTACTAAAAAAGGTCTAATCAGTTCAAAATGATTAGAAACTTAAGATTATATGTAGCTAGCTACCAGGAAGACTTAGTGATAAATCCTGGAAAACTAGATCTGAGACAAATGTATTAACTTACTGTCTTTTCCCCAGACATACTGGCTAGTTATAATAAATTATGGTAACTGAAAAGTAGAATTAAGTTAGAGATTTACATCTTAGAAAGTATTCGTATTTTGAAAATGTTTCCTGATACTGAGATAATTTCCTGTCCATGATGTTCCAAAAATTGCATGAAGACTGATGTAAGATTTTAGAAATTCAGTTACCATGAGGGAATGCTCATTTTGTGCCATACAGTGTTTTTCCTTACTTTGAAAATAAGAGTTTGCCAAGGATCATTATTATATTGATATGAATAGAGTGATAGTTTTTAAAACTTCCCCTGCTTTTAGCAATGGATTACTTAAAGAGTTTTATAGCTGTTGGGGTCTTTAGAATTTGAAGAACTTAGTAGATTTTTAAGCTGGTAAAAGAAGGCAATTTTGTAACAGAAGGGAAATAAAGACAAAAGCCAGTTGGAAATAGCACCAAGAGTTGGAAACAGACCAATTTGTTAACAAGAGAGAAGTAGAGCTGAAACCTAACATAAATATACAAAAAAAGTGTGAACATAATTTTTTTAAAAAGTTAGCTTTGATATGTGAGTACAAGGTAAAGTATTTCAGTGAACTTAGTGCAATAGAAATTCTACTGTGTATCTGAAAGGTATATTTTGAAGAGGAATAGGATTTTGCATTATGAAGTATATTTCAGCCAAATACTATAGCATTTTCTAATAAAAAATTCATTTTAAATGAAAGTATATAGAATACGTCATGTAGTAATAACACTGCTACCAAGCA